CTGTTTCTAATTCACACAAAGGGGTCACGTGAGGTTTCTTAGATTAATGGCATTTACAATACCTCTGTTATATGCCAGACACGAAGGACAGGCACCATATTGATTGTCTACCTGGTTTTCATTGGCGCGCTCTCCTTATTCTGAGAGTAATGATGGAGAAAATGAAGACAAAAAAGATGATAATCATATGGCTAAGACTTGTAAGTAGGTTACCTGGTGACACAATTACTAACGGCTAGTTTGCTAGCCAACAGGTCATCAGTGAAGCTCCATGGGAGAAAGACATCGCTGGCTGCTGCCATAAAAATTTGCAACTTTGGAAACCCTACGGGGCAGGCAGTTCTACTCAGCCTATAGAGTCCCTGCAGATCGGAATTCGACTCAATGGCAATACATTTTTTTTTAGGCACCCTTATAAAAGAGCTCTCCTTTGGTGCCAGACCCTATTCTGAGCATTTAAATGCATTATCTCATGTAATTCTTTTTTGTTTGTTTGTTTGTTTGATTGAAACCTTTTTATTTGCAAACCCTTTTTCGTTAAGCCCGTAGTCTATTTTATTGAGTCAGGTGGCCAAATCAGGCAGCCCCTGCTCGGTTTAGAAAGGCATGTTGTCAGAAATGAATACATAACCACGTTGTAAGAGCCACGCCACATGAGCCTGACTGCAGGCTCTGGGGTGGGGGGGTCTCATGTAATTCTTAAGACAGTTCTATAAGGTCTCACTATGGCCATCAAGAGGAGACTCACACACAAAAACACAACAAAAGAGGGTAAACCCCCCCCTGGGCGCCCCAAAAAGCCACACTCTGCACAACAAGAAAAAACACACTCTCTCTCCTGGGACACCTGGTGGGATGAAACTGCTGGCCTTGCAGCCAAGCTCCTAACTCACCACCCTACTCCCAGCAATCCCTTTAAAAAAAAAAAAAGAAAAGAAAAAAAACAAAGCACAGGACAGGACAGGACAGGGGGCCTCACCACTTTCTAGGCATAGAGCCCGATTTTGAATTTAGCCACTCTGACTTTTTGATCTCATTTCACACTCAGTTGGTTTCAATGCTCCTAGACAAAGAAGCTTGCTGGTTGCTATGGGTAGCTATGAGAGGTCGTGTCCCGTTTAAAGCTCTTGGCGGACACAAATGGCGTCACAAGGTTGGTAGTTTGAAAGCCCCCAGAGGCCCTGTGAAAGAAAGCAACGTTGATGGGGTTCTGTGAACATTACAGTCAAGAACCCCTTATGGAGCTCAGTTCTCCTGTCAAGCAGGTGGGCGTCGGGAGTCAAAGTTGACTCACCTGCAGGGACTTTGGTTTTGCTTTTTCTCCCCACTCCCCTCTTCTCATTTCTCCTGTGTTTCTTCTTTAGTGAACTTGACACTGGTGAAGGGAACACAGCTGAAAACAACCTACTGATCTGGGACCGCCGTCTCGCCTTATGATAGCCCCGTGGGAAGCACCTGGGGATATGACACCCTTCCTCCTCTCTCGTCATCGCCAGCATTTTTCAGTCCTTAGGCTGCGGCAGTGACTGGTGAGAGGAGCTCATGGCAGGTGGCGTTGGGCCGTGCAGTGTCTTTGCTGGGCCAGTATCTCTGGAGTCGGAACCTTGGTGGCATTTTCTGCTACTAACCAGAGCACCATCTCTCACAGTGTCTCAGAGCTGCCTGCAGAGAAAGCCACGTTTTGAACTGTCAGTCTGGCTTTCTGGTCCCCTGACTATGAAACAAAAGACACCGAGTGGTTGGAATATCAGCTCTCATCCCCAGCGGCACACCTTTAGAAAGCTTAATCAAGCCAAGCTACTTAAGAATTACTAGATTCTGAGAAAGCAATGTGTACGCCACATTCAAATAATCAAATATAGACACTCAGATGCCATCTATTAGGCCACTCAAAGAGGTTCCAGTCCATTCTGTTTTGAGGCCAGGTGCCTCACGATACCAAATGTAGCTCCAAAGGTTGTGCAGTAGTCTTATGGATTGAGTTGTGGACCCATGCCAAAGATATGCTGAAGTCCTAGCCCCAGTACCTGTGACTATGAGCCTGTCTGGAAATAGAGCCTCTAATGCTCGGACCAGTTACCATGAGGACCTAGGGAAGTAAAGCGTGCTCTAGCCCCATATGACTGGTGTCCTTACAAAAGAGAAGACGCGCAGAGATGGAGGCAGAGGAAAGCTATCAAGGGATGCCGTAGCGGCAAACCACGGAACACTTGGAGCTCCGGAAGCTTAGCAAGAGCCCGGGACCAGATGTTCCAGGTTCTCAAAGTTTCCCAAGGAGTCGACATGACTGCTTGTGCCCTGCTAAGGTTCAGAACTGTCAAATAAAATAGTCTGTTTGTAGAAGCCACCCAATTTGTGGTGTTTTTTAACTTTTCCTTTTTTTTCTGTTTGTGTCAATTATGTGGGAAAAAGTAGAAGTCATTTGTGCTTATTGTAAAAAAAATGGATAAATGAATAAAATAAATGATATCATAGTGATACGTTTTGTTGACATTTTATTTCTTCTCCCAGCCCTCTTGCTATATTAAAACATACTAGCAAGTATACTTTTATTAATAGAGGTACATTGGTGCCCTGGATGATTTTACTAATGTGGCTTTCTCTTGTCCATCTTATGCATATATTAATCATTTCCTCAGAGCTAGGGCTGTATTTATACTACTAATTTGTTTTCATGTGGGGAATGTTTTCATTACATTGTAGTGACTCAATTGTTTTTCTTTGCTATAGAGACATTATCTAAATTGTAAGACATTGGTCATTTTTATCTTTAAGGTGGAAGATGCAAACCAATTTTTAAATTCTTTATCTCAACATGCAGCTCTACACATGGAAAAACAGGCCACCATCGATCTCACTTTACTCTCCTACCTCATAAAGGAAACAATTTTTAAAATATGCAATGGTTTGCTTTATATTGAGCTCATTCACAACTAAATAAACTTTCTTTTATTTCAGAAAAACCTTAGTCTATATACCAACACATTAATAACCATCAACAAGTGAGAACACTTAAGATTTTTGTTGTAATAGAAAATTATAAATCTCCATCTCTTTAATTTTTCGTTCATTTTTCCTATCTTCGTTCTTCTACTTCAAAGGCTAACTACAATTTGAAAAATCAAACAATACCCACACTTTAAATTCTGTGTTTTCTTTTACCTCTGGCAAAACCACCCAGCATCAGAAAAGTGCGGGTAGGAAGAATGGTGACACCTGGTGGTCATGGTGAGTGTGTCAGCGTTCCCATGACAGGACCGTCAGCCCTGAGTGTGTCAGCGTTCACATGACAGGAGCTTCAGCCCTAGAGCACAATTGGAGTTTCCCAGTAGGGAAGAGTGTGAAGGAGTAATAACTCCAAATCCAACCACCACTGAGACCTTATAGGACGGGGCAGAACTGCCCCTGTGCGTTTCCAAGACTCTAATTCTTTATTAGCATTGAGAGCCTTGTCTCTCGGAGTAGCTGGTGGTTTCAAACTGTCACCAGGACTCGTGGAGAAGCAGTGACACCCTATAAATCATTTGATGCTGAAAATTTTCAGTTTTATTAAGATACATGGGCAAAAGAAACTTGGGGGAATCCACCTAGACCTTCCAGATGAAGATGCCATCCGCTGACATGTTTATCAGGGTGGCTCACAACATCTTGTCTCAGTGTAAAATGAAAATTTTACATCTATACTTTATCTGCATGAATCAAAATGCTGGTTGAGATCCTGGAGTTTTGCCTATGGCCTCAGCCCTTGCACTTTTTCTCTAGTCTATAGTGTTTGACATATTTTCTATCTAAAGCTCTTAAAATGTGTGTGTTTCTGGTAGGGAGAAAGGAGTGAGGGTCAAGAACCCAACAGTTCTCAATTTGGGACCCGGGGAGTGTGTCTGCCATCTAGAATGTTCTTGGCCTCTACCAAGTCTTTTCGTCCTTATTCATCTCTCTTTAGAAGTGCAACGTGTCTCTCTCTAGCCATAGTACCATTCTAAGAATCCACAAGAGGCATGTATTTGTTAACTCAGCTAACTGGGCTGTTTTAGTTTTTCTGTGATGTTATTGTTGTGTCTTGTATTTTGTTGTTAATCTGAGTCTTACCATGTAGCTTTCAAAAACAGTAGGAAGTTAACCAAAAAAGTTGACAAGCCTCTCCAAACTATAGTCAAACCCATTCAATTTTGCCTCCACTAACTACCCCTTTCTTTTTAATGGGATTAACCCTGTTTAAAACAGCAATCTTACCAAAGGCCTCGCACAGGCCGACCCTGTAGGCTTGCTTTGCCATGACCTTAATCGAGTATTAGCCCTACTCGACAATTAATCCTCAACTCTACCATGTGCTTGTCTCTGAAACTGGAGCAGTTTGAAAAGGGATTAATAAAAGGAAAGAGGCATCGCCAGGAGAAAGTCCAGGAACAACTGATTCTCGAAGTTTCCATTTAGGACCCTCCCTTCACTTCCGGATTGCAGAAAAAGAATTGTTTTTCTATTTGATAGTGAGGCAGAAGACCAAGCCTATGCTTACAAGGTTGTAATATGCAATTATTTGCCCACCCTTTTGTCTTCCTAAACATGGGACTTGCAGGAACAAGATTCCGTCATGGCCTGGTTAACACTGTCCAGCAGCGAAGGCTGTCACAATGGAGTAGGATCATTCAAAGGAGTGAAGAGAAAAATGACTGACATCTTCCCTTAAACGTGATTTCTATCCCTCCCACCCCAATCCTCCACGATCCGAATTCATTAGTTCCTAAGTGGAAATAAGTGCAAAGCATACCGAGCATGAGGTTCTTCGCTCAGCTTTTCTGAGCGCTGAGAATAATTCCGTTTGCAAATGTGCCCGGGCAAAAAATGTACAACGACGAAGGACCAACAAGATTTTCAGCAGGGGCGATACCATGATCCAAAAGGTGGTTTTCCCAGGGCGAGGCTTATCCATTGCACTCCGGGCGTGCTGACCCCTGCGATTTCCGCAAATGTGGGAAACTCGACAGCATCATTTGTGGTAGTGGGGGGCTGCGTTCGCGCTCTCCCCTGTGAAAAGAAAAAGAAAGAAATCTATGAATTCTCCACTCAGCCCGCCCAGGAAAGCCCAAGATTTCACTGGCGACCGGAAATACTGAAGTGTCATAATACCCGCCTCTGTTTGCCAACCCTCCTCCCCGCCCATTTCGTGACCTCATCTGGGGGCGGAGGGCAACTTCCTTCTGCGCCTGTAGTTTTCAATTAGGTCCGCAAGGGAACTATTTAAAGGACTGCGGCAAGCCTCAGAAGGCATTTGCAGCTGCGACCATGTCTGGCCGGGGTAAGGGAGGAAAGGGCCTGGGCAAAGGGGGCGCCAAGCGGCACCGCAAGGTGCTCCGCGACAACATCCAGGGCATCACCAAGCCCGCCATCCGCCGCCCAGCTCGGCGCGGCGGCGTCAAGCGCATCTCGGGGCTCATCTACGAGGAGACGCGCGGCGTCCTCAAGGTGTTCCTGGAGAACGTGATCCGCGACGCCGTCACCTACACGGAGCACGCCAAGCGCAAGACGGTCACGGCCATGGACGTGGTCTACGCGCTCAAGCGCCAGGGCCGCACCCTCTACGGCTTCGGCGGCTAAACAGTCCTTACGTTATCTTTACGAAGCAAAAAGGCCCTTTTCAGGGCCACCCACTCAATCCCAGGAAGGGCTAACACTTTTTGCAAGAGTAAATGAAATCAAGTTGCTAAAACAGTACAGAATCTAAAGTTTAACAGGCTTAAAAAAAACACGCCGGTTTTATCTCTAAAGTACGGGTAAGAGTGCTTTGGGAAATTAAGCATATTTTGCACCTTAAAGCATTGGGGGGTTCGTAAGTATAAGCTGGTAAACTATGTAAATGAAGGGTTTGGGGAGGCAGTTTCTCATTGGAGGACATTCAATAACTTGGAAAACGACACTGGGAGAAAGCATTCCAGAGCCTCTGTTTCTATTGGTCAAACAAGTAGGAACTGAACGCCGAATCTTGCGTGGTGGTGAACAGGTTTTTAACCCAGTGTATGCCTGGAACAAGAAGTGGGTTCCAAGCATCGTGGGCCTAGGGGACTTGCGTCCTGCAAGAGCTTATTGCCAGCGGCTAGTCAAGAGCCCCTATGTTAAAACAATGTGGAGAATCAGCCCATTGCTGGTGAGAGCAGCCAGGTGTCCGGTAAGTGAAGCATATTTTTGCACAACTGCAACTTCATGGAGGAAAAAAAAGACCTCTATATCCAAACAAAGAATGTGTTGTGTGTAACTGAAATGGAAATAATATTATTCTTTTCCCATTTTAGGACAAGTTTTGTTTCGCTTTAATCTCTTGGTGGGAGAGGGGACTGTTAATTATAGGAATTAATCCTAAGAAAGGCCATGAAAATGCACTTCACAGTTCTGCACTGGACTTTTTCAAAGTCACCCAGAATACAAAGGCCCAAAATTAGATTACCAATATTAGTATAAGGAACCTTGGTGGCCATAGTGATCAGACTACTAACTTAAAAGATTATTTTAAAATCATTTTATTGGGAGCCCGCACAACTCTTATCACAATCCATACATACATCCATGTGTCAAGAACATTTGTATATTCGTTGCCATCATCATCCTGAAAACATTTGCTTTCTACTTGAGCCCTTGGTATCAGCTCCTCATTTTTCCCCTCCCTTCCCACCTCCCCTTCCTCATGAACCATTGATAATTTAGAAATTATTATTGTTGTCATGTCTTACATTGTCCGATGTCTCCACCCACTTTTCTGTTGTCCAGGGAGGGGGTTATATGCAGATCCTTGTAATCGGTTCCCCCAATCTACCCCACTTTCCTTCCACCCTCCCTGTATTGCCACTCTTACCACTGGTCCTGAGGGGTTAATCCGTCCTGGATTCCCTGTTTCCAGTTCCTATCTGACCAGTGTACATCCTCTGGTCTAGTCATATTTGTAAGGTAGAATTGGGATCATAATAGTTGGGGGAGGAAGTATTTAAGAACTAGAGGAAAGTTGTATGTTTCATCATGGCTACACTGCACGCTGACTGGTTCGTCTCCTCCCCTGGACCCTTCTGTAAGGGGTTGTCCAGTTGCCTACAGATGGGCTTTGGGTGCCCACTCCACACTCCCCCTCATTCACAATGAGGTGATCTTTTGTTCTTTGATGCCTGAAACCTGATCCCATCGACACCTCGTGATCTCACAGGCTGGTGTGCTTCTTCCATGTGGGCTGTGTTGCTTCTGAGCTAGATGGCCACTTGTTTTTCTTCAAGCCCTTAAGACCCCAGAAGCTATCTTTTGATAGCCGGGCACCATCACCTTTCTTCACCACATTTGCTTATGCACCCACTTTGTCCAGCAATCAGGTTGGGAAGGTGAGGATCATGGAATGCCAGTTTAATAGAACAAAGTGTTCTTGCATTAAGGGAGTATTTGAGTGGAGGCCCAATGGCCATGTGCTACCTTAATACTATCCTATAAATATATGCACATAGATCTATTTCCCCATCATCATATATAAATACATTTGCATATGTACATGCCTGTAGTTAGACCTCTATAACTGCCCTTTGCCTCCTAGTTCTTTCCTCTATTTCCTTTAAAAGATTATTTGAGGATTCAAGAACATCCATTAAATCAGGGTGAAAAAGCCCTAGTGATTTACTCCAGTATAAACTTAAAAAAGCAAACCCATTGCTATTCAGTAAATCACTCACAGCAACCCTATAAGAGTGCAGAACTGCCTCCGTGGGGTTTTCAAGGCTGTAAGTTATCCTGGAAGCAAACAGTTTATCCACTGGGTCCAGTATTGATAATAGCCTAGGAAAATCTATGGGGTATTTATTTCTACTGTGTCACTCTAGTGCATGTGAGTTGATTGCCTCCAAGGCACATTAGTATGGATTTAGGATGAACTTTAAGAATGCTAAATCAGGCTTGAAGGTAATCAAGCGGCCATCAAGCTCAGAAGCAACAAAGCCCACATGGAAGAAGCACACCAGCCTATGCAACCACAAGGTGTCGAAGGGATCAGGTGTAAGGCATCATCAGAACAAAAAA